CTCCTCCCCGGCCGCGCCTCCCGCAGGCGGGCTCCGGGGGACCCTATTCAGAGTGACAACCCTGACCCAGATATTTTCCGTTCCTACCCGGGTGCGGGCGCCCGGGCCGGCTGTTTATGTAACTGCTGCACAACAGTATCTGCCGTGATTCATGGACTATTTTTAGACCTCCCCAACCCACGGCTTCAAGGCAGGAGGACAGACGCATGGAAAGAAAAAAAAGCGTACTTGAGAGCCAGAAAAGCCTTATCCTCTGGCGCAGGCTGTTTACCAGGCAACACCAGTAATTGGCGGGGTTTTTCCCCTCCAGTTCGTTTGGCTTTTTCCTTATGTGAGCCAACCCTTACCCAGCGGGGTGGGGAAATGGGCTGAAAACGATCCTATTATTATATGCCCATTATTGCAGAGATAGATTACAGTGTTCTTTCTTCTTCTGACAGGGCTTGGGACCATTTAGTTCGAATACTTATTTCAATTGCAGTAGTTTTACATCGCATTTCTTCTAACAGGAATTTCTTCTAACTTGGCTTTCAGGGAAAATATTTATATTGTGCCTAGAGTCTATAAACTGTAATTAACTACTGCTTATAAGCCATAATTAATTACTCCTCATGAAGGCCATGTAAGGTAAAAAGAAAGAAAAGAACACCGAAGAGGCTATTTGGAGCTCTCCTGGTCCTGATGCTAGGAGCTCCAGGGAGAGCTATGGTGTGGATTTAAACAGCCTTTTGCCTGACTTTTTGCCTGGTCTAGCTAATGAGCCTCAGAGCCTGGTTGGCACTGCTTTATTACCCAGTGGGTGAAGAGGAAATATTGTTTTGCTGAGCTCAGGTGTCCCTGAGAGATTTTCCAATATGGCACAGGATGGAAACTTGCAGATGGGGTCAGGAGGATTAAGGAAATAACCCTGCAGTGAAAAGGAGGAAAGCCTGAACAAAGAGAGGAGATGAAATAGGAAGGGACACATTTAGGCATGGAGCTTTCATTTCCCTCTCTTGGGGCTGCCCAGGGCCTGCACAGCAAGCATTTTTCTTGCTACTGTTTAAGAAAACCAACGTGGCTGTTTGTTTATTATGACGGAATAATCCACACAGTACACAGTGTACACCAGGTGGTGCTGAATATAAACTGCACACTTAAATTGACCCCCAGGGCAAATAGGAACTCCAAGCTTACATTTTTATTTGTCCAATTTAAATTTTCTCAGATCCAGCTTGATGCTTCATCTCAACTGCCTGCCTTGCTTGACACTGAAACTGGGTCCTTTCACACTGTTGAGTGACGTGGCAGTAGGTAATAGCCTCTTTTCTTAAAAAAAGCAGTTTTAAAAATTTGGTAGTGACTGCACTGGAAAGACTGTGAGTTCTTGTTATAAGAATTTATTTGTCAAATTTCCCTTTCTTAAAAGGATTATAGCATGTGTCCTTTAATAGCTGTTGAATCAGTGAATATTAATATCTCCTTAAACTCATCCTTTACTTACCTCTAACTCCAGTCTTTTGCTTGTTATCCTCACATATAAAAACAAAAACAAAAGCAAAAACTTTCTCCACAAACAAAATCTCTAATCCTGGCCGTAACTGAATGCAAGCCAATAGATATTCAATTGCTTCCATTTATTTATACTTTTTATCTTTAGGGAATTAACCAACTCACTGGATGTATTAAGCAGGCACCTTTTGCACTGTTCTAGTCACTTAGATGCTGTTGCAAACAAATAAGAGTTGCTGACTTCAAAGAACACAGTCTAGCAGGGGAGAGGCGGGAAACAACAGAATGTGATAAATATTACAATAGAAACAGTATAGCATATGGCATAGTGGTTGTGAGCATGGGGATTGAAACCAGATTGCCTCCATTTGTATCCCAGTTTTGCCTCTCATATAATCTTGGATTGGTTACTTAATCTTCCTGTGCTTCAAATTTTGTATCTGCAAAATAAAGCTGATAATAATAGCACCTATTTTGTAGGACTGTTCTATGGATTGAATGAAAGAATATGTGTAAAGCCTGGATGTAGAAAACACTTAATGGATCATAGGTATGGCCCAACAAGGTTAAGTCAAGAGCCCCTGATAGAATGGGAGGGCCGTGGTGGTCAGGAAACAGGATAGCACCCAGGTTTCTGGCTAGGTAGATAGTGCTGCCAGTTACTGAGATTTGGGACAAAGAATGAAGAGAAGGTCTCGGGTACCATGGTGAATTCACTTTCGAATTTGTTGAACTTTCTGAAGACATTTTATTACTACTATTGCTCGGCACTATGCTAAGTGCTATATGTGAGTTATCTATGAATTATCTCACTTAGTACCCACAACAACACTATAATTATCATTATTGTTACTATTATTATCTGAGGCACAGAATGGTAAGTAACTTGCCCAAAGCCATGCAGCTTAGTAAGGGAGCAAGGCTTTGAATTCAAGCAGTTAGACTCTAGAGCCTGTGCTTTCTTTTCTGATTTTCACTTAAGTGGCAATGCCCAGTAAATAGTTGTGTATATGGGTGTGGCATTTAGGACGGTGTTCTGGGCTAGTGATTTGGATTTGGTTGTCATCAGCAAAAGGTACTAGCTGAAATTATGGGAAAGGAAGAGATGGTCCCAAGACACTGTATTGAGTGCTGAGAGAAGACAACTAAAGATAAAACCCTAAAGAATAGCCAACATTTTAATAATCGACAGAAGAATAGAAATTCTCAAATGAGACCCAAGAGGAGCAGCTGGAATAGTAGGAGGAAAAGCAAAAGAATGGGAGGGTTTGGAGAAAAGAGAGTGATCCACAGGGTCAAATGCTGCAGAAAAGGCAAGAAAGAAAGGACTAAAGAGTATAGAATGGATTTATCCACAAGGAGCTTGCTGGTGACCTTGGAAAGGGAAGTTGCAATGGAGTGGTGGGGATGGCAGCCAGACTATCAGTGGGGTTAGAAGTGAACCAGAGCTCCCTCCTAAATGTTATATACTGTTTGGGAATCTGGGAATACAAGGATGAATACAAAATGTATCTGGGCTAAAGGAACCCTCACATAGTGCTGTAGGCTCAAAGTCCAGTATCAGTGTCAACAGGTTTGGTTTCTCCTCAGGACTCTCTCCTTGGCTTGCACATATATAGTAGCCTTCTTGCATCCTCATGTGGTCTTTTTTTTAATATGTCTTTATTGGTTTGAGAGAGGAAGGGAGAGGGAGAGAGAGAGTTGAAACATTAATGATGAGAGAGTCGTATTGATCGGCTGTGAGCCCGCATCCCGGGCATGTGCCTTGACCGGTAATCGAACCGTGATCTCCTGGATCCTAGGTCAACGCTCAACTGCTGAGCCACGCCTGGCGGGCCAACACTTCATTTTTAACTTAGCCATCTTTCTAAAGATGCTATCTCTAAATACAGTCACATTTTGAAGTACTGGGGATGAGGCCTTGAATTCTTTTCTAATCACTTTGTCTGGCTGGAACCTTACCATCTTTTAGATCTTAAGTCATTTCCACAGAGAGACTTCTCATTTACTCTTTGACAGAACCCTTGTTTTTCCCTGATCATAATAGTTAGTGATTAAATGGACTCAAAACGTGTTGGGCCTGTTTTTCACGCCTTACATTGTATCAATTCACTTAACATTCACAATAACTTCGTGTGTGTAGGGGACTATTATTATCAGAATCTCCATTTTGCAGATAGGGGAAGGAAGACAGAATGGCAGACCTGGGATTATTAACCCAGGAGGTCTGACTTTAGCACCTGTACACTTACTTTACCACCACTTATATTGACATAGTTGATATTATCTCTCTTTTTAAAATGTTTTTATTGATTTCGGAGAGAGAGAGATAGAAACGTCCATGATGAGAGAGAAGCATCAGTTAGCTGCCCCCTGCCCGCCTGGCCTGGGATCGAGCCCGCAGCCCAGCGTGTACCCTGAGCAGAATCGGACCATGACCTCCAGGAGGCCGCTCCACCACTGAGCCACACGGGCTCGCAGTAGTCTTTAGTCACCGTCTCCCTCACCAATCCTCAGGGTCTGTGGGAGAGAAGGCTGTGTCTGAAAGGTTCAGAGCTTGGCTTCAAGAGCTTACCTGGCACATAGCAAGTACTCGGGTAATTTTTGAATACAGGAATCAACAATTTTTTAAAAAATTCCAGACTGGGCGCTATCACGTGCAGGACCGAATCACCAGCCTCCGTATAACGTTGTAGAAACCGCCTTATCTCTGCCTTGATTTCCCACCCAGTGAATCAGGGGCACTGGGGTGGGAGGACCAAGCCAGGTCGGAGGAAGGGGCGCGAGCGCGGCGACTGGAAAAATGGAGTCTGAACAAGGAGTTTCCGCCCCTGGAAAATGGCACCGACAGCGCCGCGTGGGACAAAGGGATACACTGCTCTTTCCCCCACTTAGGAGCGGTGTGGAAGCTTCAAGAAGCAGGCTCCTGTTTCTCAAGGTGGAAGAGCTCGGGAAGAGCAGCGTTCGTGGACGTGGGTGGGCTGAGTTAGCGCGAGGCTCAGCCTCCGATTCCGCAAGGAGGGAATGGGGCGGTGCCGCCGGGCAGGGGCGGAG